CTGAGGTCCTCTGGGTTCAGGCCTCTGGAAACTGGTGTGTGTGTAGATACGCATATCCGTGTGCTGTCTATCGACATGAGTGCAGTAACCCATCTGATAATTCTGACAACTTACCCAGTGGCTTTAGCGCATGTAGGTGACTCTGTGCACTGGTGAATATAAAGACTTCCCTTTTGGAGCAGGGCTTCTGAAGTGGGAGGCTTTTGTTCTTTAAACGTCACCTGCTTTTTGCTAAATAGTAGCCAGCACAAATTACAGAAATAACAATGCATAAACCCCCTATTGCTAGCTGTCAAATTAAAAAAAAACCCAACAAACATTTTTGTTTTGAACTTGTGCTATGAAGACAAAGCTTTCCGGAGTAGTCTGCTAATCGCAACAGGGTATTTTGGTCAGTGCTTAGCTCCTCTGTGTCCGGCCAGGCACGATAGCTGTAACAAGCTATTTAGACCTCTGTCTTCAAACTGTAGATCTTCCTCTACTGAGATGTCATAGAATCACTGAAAGGCTTGCATTGGAAGGGACCTTAAAAATCATCTAGTTCCAACCCCTCTGCCATGGGCATGTCCAAGGCATTGGGTCATCTTTAAGATCTCAAAGGTCTTTGTACTGTATGAGAGCACACCACTCGAAAACTGAGGCATTTTGAACAAGTGTTCCCTGTTTGGTTGCTAGCAAGTACAGCCAGCTCCTTTAGTGCCTGGTTTCTTCTGAAGCACAGCCTGCACCGGCACTTTGGTGCGTTTTCAGGGAAATGCTGCTGGACAGCCTGAACACGTTCACTTCTAACAGCAGTCTTTCTGCTTGGAGGACACTTCACTAAGTGTTCGCACGCATGAGTCTTCTGAAATTTTTGTTCTAGTGAACAAAACTGCGTGTTTTTTTTTTTCTCCAAACTGCGGAGTTTTCACAGGGTAATGAAATTTGATGGCGTGATACTCTTAATGAATCGACTAGGTGCAGAATACCTCATATATAACCAGATCCATGTTCTGCAACTTTTCCTTAAGGAAAGTGTTACACAGTCTGAGGGTGTTGGATCTGAAAATTTATTAAGTGTACTCCTATCAGACTTCCTAGCTCTCCTGTGACTTAAAGCATCTCCTTGTTGCATAGCCACTGAATTAATTCTGTATTTGAAAGCTAGGATCTTTGATTGCTTGGGTTCAGGGCATGTGTATCTGCTTAAGAGTTAGGACTAATAACAATAATGCTATTGTGCTGGAATATGCATTCTAACTACCTGTAAAGGGCAGTATTTAATTGTCTGGGTCTAATACTGTGTGAATTTGCTCCTCTTCTAGGTCAGGAAGACTATGATAGATTACGACCCCTCAGCTATCCACAGACAGATGTATTTCTGGTCTGTTTTTCAGTGGTGTCTCCTTCTTCCTTTGAAAATGTGAAAGAAAAGGTTGGTTGAACTCTGCCTAAAAAGGGAGCTGCTGCAGTGATTTCAGAATCATGTGAGGAGTTATCTTGGCTAGTTAGTAACAAATACCATGTCTTCTCTGTCTTTAGTGGGTACCTGAAATTACTCACCACTGTCCAAAGACTCCTTTCCTGCTTGTTGGGACCCAAATTGATCTAAGAGATGATCCCTCAACAATTGAGAAACTTGCCAAGAACAAGCAGAAGCCCATAACTCCAGAGACGGCTGAAAAACTGGCCCGGGACCTGAAGGCCGTCAAATATGTGGAATGCTCTGCACTTACGCAGGTGAGGGTTGGTCTTTGACCATTTTTGCTTGCTTGTATTCCAGGATTTTTTTCCAGTCACGGGGAAAACCAGCTTGGTATGGATGTGAGAGCTCTGTTTCTGCTGGTGACACAGGAGCTTTCTCTTCGTCCTGTTGTTCTAAGGCATGAGGAGTTGGCAGTGGGAGAAAGCAAATCAGCCTATGAAGCTTAGGCATAGTGTAGAGGGGTGATGGAGGAGGATGCGCTTGCTGCATTTACTTTTGTGTTGGAGGAAAATAGCTATTGGAAAACGTGGAAGGCGTGTTAGGGTCAGGAGGTGGGTTAGGGCACAGGGTGCAGCTCACTACTGAAGAGAGTAGGCAAAGGAAAAACCTTTCAGAAAAGTCAGTTCTGGTACTTCTAAGACTAAAAGACTTCCTACTTGTGAGAGCTGCTTTCTCTTCCTGTGCAGTTGGTGGTGAGCTGTGTTTCCTGTGTCCGCCTTAAGGTGGAAGTTCTGTTGAAACAGAAAATAACAATGAAATAGTTCTTAAGACATAAATGTGGTGGTGATGTGTGAAGTAACTTGTGAGCGTGAGTCTAAAGCCAACTAAAATAGCTGATTTGAGGCCAGGAAACCTGATTATCCTTTCCCTTTAAGTTAGGAGTACTAGGGTGGGGTGGATGGGAGCCATCAACTGGCTAGCTGGCGTGTTGCCTTGACTTTGGATGCCCTGAGAATTTAATCTTGCGTGCCTGCTCTTGCAGAATTGACTACAACTCTTTAACAATTTCCTTAATGCTACTCTGTAAAGAATTTGTCCCTACCTGATGTGCATGAACTAGGGGTGCACAGTATCAAGTCCCTCTCTCTTTCCAGTTTTGTTGTGCATCCATCTCTAGCTCCTTGAGCACAAAGCTTTATAGCTAAACTCCATGAAGCCTGAAGTTCTGCTTATCTTGCACCTTTTGCCCAGACTGCATGTTGACTTTTCCATTTGGCATCCTGAGACTTTTTTTTTTTTGTAACAAAGCTTTGCCTGAGCGATTGCTGAGAAGGAAGAGGCTTTTGATGGAATTGTGCAGGACGCTGGCACCGGAGGTGGTGTGGTGAGGCACACTGCAGTTCCTCCCGGGAATCCCTGATCAAAAGGTGTTCTTGGCTGTGCTTTCTTACTGCTCACGTGCAAGCTGAGGGGTATTTGTGCTTGAGCTGTAATTCTCTTAGATCCTTTTGGTCCTGAAATACCATTTTAGATGATGTTTGGCACATCCTGAATGCTGCTGCTAACTAGGCTGTAGAATCTGCTAGTTGGTTAAATACATACCAGGGCTTCTTATCCTGTATTACTCACTGAGACCCTCTCCTCTGTAGCTTTAAACTTGCCTTGTTTAGTCTGCCCAAAGTGCATGGAAGCACTTAGAATTACCAGAGCAAGAGTTGATATGATTAAAAATTTCAGTGTTTATCCATTCTTTTTTTTATTTCCAGATAGACTAAACTGTCTCTGTTGCAGTGAACAGCTTTATACGCATGGAAGCTCAGCCTGAATTTCTTCCAGAGCACTAGTGCTTGTATAGCCATTGATGGTTTTGGGAATCAAGAGTAACCTGGGAGGAGGGTTCTGAAGCCTTCTTGCCTGGAAGACTAGTTGGTTTGCATCTGCTCTATTCTTTTTCCTTCATTTGTTGTTGACTCCCCTCACCAAACACCTTTTTCTCAGTCTGTCGGTAATAGCTGCCAAACAGAAATGAAGATTCTCTATGAAGGGCTGTTTGAAGTTCCCGGCAGAGATCTAGCTGGCAGCTTGCTGAACACAGAAGTCACCTGGCTTTCCTAGCCAGGAGGGTGGTTTTCCTACCTGCAAGGCAATGTTGTAGTAGCTGGTTTCAACTGAAGCTAGACTCAGCTGGGAGTTCAGTCTCTCTTTACCTTGGCTTCCATCTACGCAGATCACCTCAGCAGTCTAGGGTGTTTTTTTCCTCCCCAACTAATTTACAAATTACTTCGACACCTCAATAGCAAGTAATCACAAAATCATGGAGCCAGAGCATGTTGTTTTTTCCTGGGAGGAAGAGTTTGCTTGTCTCTGAAGAGTCCATGTTCTGAAAGTGCTAGATGAGTTGTATGAGGCTGAGTTTCTGAGTCTTTTCTGTAAAGACAGAGTATCTTCTCCTCCCTGAGTCTGGATGACGGCAGTACTGAGGAGCCAGTTTATCCCCCCCTTTCTTCAGGGTGTGGAACCCCTTTTTATGATGAAGGCACTTTCAATGTCTGTCTTCAACCTTTCTCTATGAAATAGTACCCAGAACCTCTGTAAAAAGTGGATAATGCTTTGCTATTAGGAAAGGGTGACTAACAAACAGGATTACAACTAAAATGATGGTTCTTCTGTTACGCTTAAGAGTTAAAAGTCTGAGCGGACTTTCTGAAGCTTAGTGCTTGTACCTAACACAAGGGAGAACTCTGAATTTAGTTCCTTTTTTCCCCTCTGGTGTTGGGTCACCAGTTCTGACCCAGTCAGATTTATAAAGTGTCTTAAACTGTCCATGGAAGGGATAAAGGGAGCCTGAGCTTAGCCTGTTCCCCGGTGCAGCACAGGAGCTGTGTTACTTTAAGCAGAGTATCGAGGCCTGTGTGCCAGTGGTACTGAATGCAGCTCCCTTCATGTGGTTACTCGTGGATTAACACTAGTCCCATTTCCACAACAATTTTGTCCCTGTCCTGTGTGTTTTTTTTTTTTTTTTCTTCTCTTCCCTTATCCCAGTTTTTTCCTAGGTCCTTCCAAACAAATCCCAGATTCTGTTCTCTTGAACAAATTGATTTCTCCTGTGCAATAGGAAAACAAGACTCCCTGAGTAGAAGAATTAAGGAAGCAGGTTTTCTTGATTCTTGCCCTGCCTGGGTTCTTAATCTACCTAACAGTCCATAATTGAGTTTATAGCACAGCCTTATTCTTACAGAGAAAGAAAATCTAATTAGTACTCAGACTTCACATAGACATCATTTATTTGATGTCTCTGGCTCTTTTGTCAGCCTGGGTTGCAACTCATTTAAAAAAAAAAGTTGCTGGGGAAGATGTACAGAATGATTGTACATGGTAATTTCCTTAACTTCCGTTCTTTCAAGTCTAATCTTGTATGTAACATGATGGACTTAAATGCTTCCAGATGGAATTGCCTTAGAGATCTCCCATGGATGTGCTTTGGTAAAACAAGATTAAAGACCTTCTAAAAGGGACATATCCAGTCTAACCTGTGAGGGAGAAACTAGTTACATTTGAATTACTTCTAAAAAAAAAATAATCTTAATTTTGCAAAGACTACAGTTGTTTACAGGAAGTAATTTAAGCTTTTATGTTTGTCTTTAGCTGGGATAAAGCAGTTGTTCTGAATTTATGAAGGTTGCGCTTGTGACAGTAGATTTAGGCGAGTCCAGTTAGCATAAACTGAGCCAGATTTTGCTTCTGGTGTTATGTGTAACTTGGCAGTCTCATGTGGGAGTGGTGGCACACAGCAGTGTTCCCGTTCTGCTTCTCTCAAATGCAATGCATGCTTCGTGCTCTGGTGTAGTCCCTGCAGGCTCCTTGCAGCTCTGTGACTAATTGTCTGGTGTTGGATCTCAGTTATTCCAATCCTAACACCGTTTCTGTCTTCCTGTGACTTTGAGTTGGTTATACTTGCTTTGGTAACTTAAACTGAATAACTGAAATGCACAGTGTCCATGCTGGCTCTCGATGGCAGAACAGCAGCACTGGTAAAATATTGCATCGCTTTCTTAAAAGACTGATAGCCAATGTCTGAGGATGACAATGGCTTACCAGAGAGGTACTGCTTCCATCCCAGATGTTGTTTTCCCAGCCATTTGGAGATCTTCAGTTATTCAGGGGCTGAATTCACAAAGCAGAGGAGTTGTTTGGAGCCTTTGCTCTGGATGAGCTGCCCCTGGGGTAGTTGGGAGCAGTGAGTCTGTGCATCTGAGATGCTTGCTTATCCGCAGTGGGTGACAACAAAAGGCTTACGTGTCCTTTTGGATCACTGTGGTGGGGCAAGCTGCTCTCCACTGTGTTTATTCCCCTGTAAACTCCCCAAGTGTATATTCTGCAGTTCACTGGAAACCACCATCTATTGTGCAGCCCCTCCCACCCCTGTGTTCTTGGCAATTGCTGCTGTGTTTGTGCCTCTGCCCTTCTGGGTGTTCATTTTGTCTAACTTGGTCCATCACATGGTCTGTCTGTCTCTGACATTGACTTTGGGTCATCTAAATGAGATTTCCTCCTGGGATCTACTTTGGTTTTTTTGCAAAGTAAATCTGTTTACTGCCTCTGTGAATTCAGCCTGGTCTATCCTGAATGCTCTTTGTATCTGCTTGTTTTTCTCTAATCCTCTAACCTGGCTGCTGTTTTTTCTCCTCCCCTCTGTCTTGTAGAGAGGTCTGAAGAATGTGTTTGATGAGGCTATCCTAGCTGCCCTCGAGCCTCCGGAAACTCAGCCCAAAAGGAAGTGCTGTATATTCTAAACTTTCTCCTTCCCCTCTTGCTGCTGCTTCCTCTGTCCCACTACTGTAGAAACCTGGTTAAAAAAATGAATAAACCCACCTTGATTGAAAGCTGTTGTGTCTGCTTACCATCTTAGAGCAACCTCTGTATTAGCTCTTGGACTGAAAACAATACTTAAGATCTTTAGCATAAACGTTGTGACTGTGGAACATGAACTGGACTCGCTTAACTCTCTGCTGCTTGGGTTGCCAGATGTGGGTAGCTTTATAATTCAGGCTGTTGGGGAGAGGAGCTGGTTACATCAATATTTAAAGAAAGATCAAAAGACTAAGACGTGATGTTTGATCTTCCTGAATCCAGCAGGAAGAAAGATGGGTGTGTTTTTTCAATTTCTACTTGTGACTCTTGTTAACTGTATTTGCATGACAAAAGTACATGAAATGGTGATCTGCAAGTTATGCTGTAATGTGAAGGGTTTCTGGTTCTCCTTTGTGCAGTGAGATGTTTTTCTGTTGCTTTGGTTGTCTGTGCTGTAGTGGAGTATTTGTCAGTCCTTGGGGGGGAAGGAAATATCAATGTACTTGCTACTGCTTTATGAACTGTTAAAATTCTTGCTTTCACTAACATGGTAGACCTCTTAATTTCAATAATGGATCCTTAAAGCCTGTTACTGTAAGATGTAAAGCTGCCTCTTACTCTCATGCTTCTGATTTTTATTGTTTTAAGGAGAAAACGTCAATTGTAGCTTGTCTTTAAATTTTGAAATTAAAAATTGCAGTTGTTTGTATAAATGACTGATGAAGCTTTATTCCGATTTGCACTTCCTGGCTTCAGTTTAACACGTAATGCAATGTACAGTACCCGCTTTGTACTCCTCCCATCTTGACTTCTCTGATACCATGCACAGCTTCTGGGCTCTACCTGGCCGCTTCTAACTGTCGGGTGTTTGGGGCTGGAAGCCTGACCAGAGCGTGTACCAGACCGATTGATCGTTGCATGCTTGCCTTGTCTCTTCTCTTCTCTCCCCTGACACGCTGGTGTCTGCACTGCGGTACCTGGCCTGCTCCAGATCAAGCTCTTCCATTTGAATGCAGCACTTTCTGCTTTGTCATTAGCATGTGAAACATGTTAGTAGCCAGCTAATGATAAAAATTGCCTTAAGGAAATTACTTTGGTACTGGTGTTTTGCTGCTTGTGAACTATTCTGGTCTCAAAGGATTGGTGTTCCTGTTTGGAAAAATCCGATGCTGTGCTAAGGAGCTGCTAAACTCAGCAACACAGCTTGCTCAGCTTGGCTCTGTGCAGAGGAGACTATGGGAGTTGTGGGTGGCAAGCCTCGAGTTGTCACTGGAGGGATTTGTCTGCCACTTGGCTTTCTCTGGTTTTGTTTGTGTGAAAACTCAAAAATGAGACTGCCCCTCTCTCTCTTTGCCCCTTTTCAGAAAGGCCTAAAGAATGTATTTGACGAAGCGATATTGGCTGCCCTGGAGCCTCCGGAGCCGAAGAAGACTCGCAGGTGTGTGCTGCTATGAACGTCCCTCCACAGCCCCTTCTGCAAAGCTGGTGTTTGATGTCATACTAAAAGCAATGTTTAAATCAAACTAAAGATACAAATTTTAAAATTTGTTTTTGCAATAATGACAAATGCCCTGCACTCCCATCTCCCCCACACGATCCCTGTGTGAGATGAGAATGTTAGTGTTTATTCCCCAGTGCCCCCTCAATTCAGTTAAACTAGTTAATTGAGTAATTATGTATTATCAGAAAACACTGATCAGTACTAGTTTTTTATTTTGTTTACTGTTTCTAATTTTTTTTGTTTAAAATCCAGGCATGCTTGTGATGACTTTTTCTGTAACAGACTAATTCTAGGCTGTTTTACTGAAGCCTTGTCCCTTATGCCAGTCTGGCAAGACTTCGTTCTGGTTTCAAGAACTTCTAGGGCTGTTCTGCAGCCAGCCAGCAGCCTGGGTGTGAGCAGACTTTAGTACTGAAGACAAATACAGGAAAGTAAAGTGTCCCAAGCTGGTGCTCCTCTAAGGAGGACTGTAGAAAATGCATCTGCATCTCCTCTGAAGTTGCCTTGTATCTCTTCCCCTGGCTTTCCACTGTGCAGGTCATAAATTTCTACCCCATCCTCTTAAGTTATGAAGCCTTAGGAATAGGAGAATCCTTTTCTCTGGATGCACCATCAGACTTGAAACGAGCTTGCCAGTCTCTTCCTTAATCTTGACATCATAAGCTTTTGTCGTGTGATGAAGAAATAACTGCATCTTTTTAAGCATGCCCAACTGACTCAGTTGGCTTTTAACAAATCCATCTTCTGCCAATCCTTAATTATTAGAGAAACGTTTACAATGACCAGCATGCACACTGCTGTTTGGACATCTGAAAGGACCTGGTGTATGTTAAGACGAGTTTTGGAGCTGGCCCTGGTGGTGCATCTCTTACTGGATGGCTTGGCATCCATCAGGGAGGGGTGGAAAGATAGACCTGTGGCAGTAGGAAGGAACTGCAGGGAGGGGTTTCTAGTGTTTAGTGTGGCACCATATAGGGACCAGTGAAGGGAACCCCCTTTTTCTGCAGTTTGCTCGTAAGTAATCTTGAACCCGTAAGATGGGCTCCAGCCCGCTGAGGATTGTGCGCAGGGTCTTTATGTAGGCAGACTGCAGTGTCGTAGGGATTTTACCAAAAATATATTTTGGCTTGCAAATTCAAAGTTTTTTAAGACTTAGGGAATCTTCTCCATCTTCCAAAATTCCGATTTCTTGTAGACTCATTAGTGTTGAACCAATGCTTTTTCATGTCTAAGTTCTTTGTATATGCATTCTTTTCAGATGTATTAAACAAAGTATCTTCACAAGCCTGCCTGAGGGTAGTTATTTCCCTTGCCTTTCTCTTGAGTGTGAAGGACTTGTAAATATGGCTTTTACCCCTTGCGAGCCCCGCTCTCCTCCTTGCAAGTTAGTTTGGGTCTGTCCTTAATGCTTAATCCTGTTGGTTCCTGTCTTCCCTCATCTCTGCTGCTGGCCTCAGTTCTATCAAGATTGCTCTAATCTTTGATGCAATGTCTTCGCTGTCATATGTCATACCCAGCTCTGAAGAGAGGACATGGTGGTTCTTAATGAAGGGAATAGTTGTCACTGTGCATGTTCCCACATACTAATTGGCTTTTGGGTTTTATTGGGCTCTTGCGTCTCTCCTGTCAAGAACCTAGTCTTTGTACAAGTTTCCTGTTGTTCCCTGCTCATGGGCAGAGAGCAAAAACCCTAAGGGTACATACCCTAAGCATAATCATACTTATCTCCCTCCCCAAAATGCACAGAATTTTATTATACCTTTTTGTTAATTCACCAAAGAAAAGGTTAAGCCTTACACTGATGCATAATTTGTATTAATTATTAAAATGCATTCCAAAGAGCCTCATTAAAGGTCACTTTTATTTTAAGAAGCTGACATGTGGGTGCTGTAATCCAAAAGCTTAGTGTAAAATACATGCTTCTCTCTTTTCATAGTGATTAGTGCTGCTGTTTGACTTTGCAGTTGAGTTTTTAATTGCCATTGTCTGTGGGGAGGCTTGGTTGTAGGTCTCTGGCTTCCAGGTGAAACTAACTGCTGGTACTTGTAACGCTTGGTGAGAGCTGAGCATTGGTGGCTGCTCTGTGTGCTTACAGCAGACCAAAACGGGCTTCTGCACCTTCTAATGGCTAAACCTAATTCATATGTCTAAAGCCAGCAGCAAGACTGGAATCAGGTGGGAAACTGCCTCTGAAGAGGAGGGAGAACCCTTCAGGACTTCTGCTTTAAGTAGCCAGGTTACCCTGTTAAGCTTTTTCTGTCTTGGATGCACCCTTACGTGGGGGTTGCCTATAGCTATCTGGTCCCTCTGCACACATTTTCTGGCAGTGACCTGTGCCAGTCCTTTCATGCAGGCCCATTTGGCTAAGCAATAAAGTCAGTTCTGTTAAATCAGAGGTTAAATTTGGCTCTGGAGGGAATCCTCTAGGCACTGGATGATGGAAAAACATCCTTTTCAAGGAGCGGTGCTGTTTCCTTCCTCTCAGTGTTGCGTTAGCTTTGCAAAAGGCTAGCTGATAGCTCCATGACTCTACTAGTACACAACTGTCCCAGTCCAGAGAGAGGACAAGATGCTAGAGCTGGTTAAACAAGCTCAAACAGCTTAGCTTGTGGGATGTTTAATTTTGTGCCCTTTCTCTGGAGCTCAGTAGCGAGGTGTCTCAAGCTGGGGGTGAGAGATCCGCTCTGCCTTGCCAGGTTATATGGGCATAAGAGCACCTTGGTGTCTGTCTCCCTTCCTGCGTGAAGGCATGCAAAATGGGCAAAAGCAGGCAAACCCACCACTTTCTTCCCCTTCTGGGAGTGCTATTTTCAGCTGGCAGCTTTGGAAGCAGGTGGGAATACTTGGCATTTCCCTTGATACTGGTGTGGCAAGCTAGCATGTGGTATGAGCTGGGATTGCCTCATGTTACCACTTTTATAATAGAGGGCTTGCCCATCTGAAGATGTACCCGTGGCTCGGTGCTGTCTTCCCTCTCACCTGTGAGGATTCTTGAGGTACGTGTAGTGGCTCACTGGCACAGACAGCCAGGAGGCCTGGGCTGGCTGCTTACCAACTGCTACATGTGCTGATGATGTCTCTTGTAAAGGGCCAAAAATCTCTTGATGGGAAGGCATCTGAGAATTGTATTAAAATTGCTCCAATGACTGAAGCCTGCATAGAAACTGAAGAGCAGCTTCTTGTTTTAATAGCTGGGATGCACAGCGATTTCTTAATGAAGTCTTTTGTTTATTCATGTAACTCTCTATTAAACAGCCACTTACCCTAGATGAGGACTAGGTTAGTGATTTCTGGTTCCCGGTTTGCTCTCATGTGAACCTCAAGTTTCTAATACTAAATCAGTTTTGCAGGTAGTGAGCAAAGCTCTTGCTTCTGTTGGCCACTCTGAACAAGTGGCTCTGTGTATCTTCAGCAGCTGCTTGTTGTCTGTGAAGCAGGGAGCATCCCCATTCCCTGCCTCCACTGCATGTTCCCACACTGTCCTTCACATTACCTCCATTAAGCTCTGCAGGGAGATGATGACATTCACTTATTGTGCAGAAACGTAACGTTGGACTCTACTGCCTTTTTTTTTTTTTTTTTTGTGGTAAAGCTGATGCCAAAATGACTGCAAGGGAGGAGGTAGGAGAACCAGCTCTGGTGTAGAGGCTTAGGGAGGAGGTGGGAGTGTGCACACAGTCTGACCAGTTCAGCTGTATCAGGTAAACATGTGTGGTGACAAATAGCATGAATCAGTTTGTTTTCCCACTGTGCTGCTGTCAACAGGGTTGAAATACGGAAACTGAGGACTATTGGCTAAATAGGCAAGTACTTAATGTGGAGAAAAGCCCTTGCGTCCCTTGTAAGGGATATACTTGCATGAGAAATCTGAAACGAGAGGTTGGACTCCAGGATTGATTACTGGTGAGAAGAGTTCCAGGGCAGCAGTTGCTTTTCTGAGCACTGAGTCGCCCAGGCTTCTTAGCAGTTTGTTTCATGGCATTGCCCAAACTGTGGTACACCGTGGGGCCATTGCTGCCTGTTGCCTGAATGGCTCTCCAAGTGGTGAGCTGTCTTGTCTGAGCTGGGATGGTCCTCTTCGTGGTTCACTCCCTCTGCTCGGGTTGTGCCTGCCTGCTCGCCCTTTCCGAAGGGGCTCCCAGAAGGGAGCTATCTGACAAGGTGCAGCTCCTTCAGCGTGTTAGGTCAGATCAATGTGCAAATCTCCAAGTTGTCCCTACTTGACATGCTCTAATTCACATCCCAGAGTGTTTTTGGAGTGTGCTAGTTGGATTTGTACTGGGTAAAACTTAAATGGATGTTGTCCTCCAGGAGCTAATGGAGCTTTGGGACCCAGCTAGAGTTAGCTTGAAGGGCCCCCTGAAAAGCGCATGGTGTTGCTGCTGGGTATGGTTTCACTTGGCGGATCTACTCCTGCTGTCTCTGCTGTTTGCTGTAGATGCAGCTAAAAACAGACTGATGACTTTGGCGTGTTCCCAAGAGGCAGCAATGTCCTCTGTTACTTGGCCACCATCTAGGTCTCATTTTGCAGCTGGTAGCAGCTGTCTCCTTTTAAAAACAGACTTTGAGTGGGGATTTGTGAGAGCCCTTGTGTCAGCACTGCCCCTGACCCAGCCTTCCTGTTGCCTTAACTTACACGAGCCCCCCTCTCTCGCTGTGCAGCAATTTTTATGTGGGGTGCTTCTGGGGTCCTGTGCTGGGGAGGTGCACTGCATCGCTTCTCCTAGCTGCCCATGCTCTGCTTCCTCTCAGAAACATTCCTCGCTGTTGTTCTTCTTCAACCCCTGGTCTCCAAGCTGCATTTTGGACTAGATGATCCTTGAGGTCCCTTCCAACCTGGTATTCTATGATTC